TAGCTACAGCAATAAGACAAGATGAAAACATAAGATGGATCCAAATAGGGAAAGATGAAGTAAAACTCGCCCTCTTCGCGGATGACATGATCTTGTATTTAAAGAATCCCATGGACTGTCCTCCCAAATTACTTGAATTGATTCAAAACTTTGGCAAAGTAGCAAGGTATAAAATCAACCCTCAAAAATCAATGGCTTTCTGCATGCCAGCAATGAGAAAAACATGGCTGAAATCAGGAAAGCAACTCCATTCATAATAGCCCGACAAAATATAAAATACCTAGGAATTAATTTAACCAAAGAAATGAAGGACATCCATGATGAAACCTTTAAAAACCTGGAAAAGGAAATCAAAGCAGAACATAGAAATTGGAAAAACCTCCCATGCTCCAGGATTGTAAGGATCAAAATCATGAAAATGGCCATATTTCCCAAGGCTATCTACAAATTCAATGCAATACCTATCAATATTCCATCTTCATTCTTCAAGAAAACCAGTGCCTTCATTCCCACATCTTAAATGAGATCTGAATGTTGGAATACTGCTCCTGGCCCCTCTAGAAATAGATGAAAATCCATGGCTAGGGCCATAATAAGTCCCTATCTCCCTCCTCTCCTCCTCAGTATGACTAGCAGGAATTTGCCTATCTGAGACATAAATCAGGCCAAGACACTGGCCTGTATACTGTGTGCCATACCGTGAACAAGCCACTGGGCTTAAATAGAGGCCAGAAATTCAATCATTTTGTATATTCCCATCATAGGAATGATTACAGGAGTGCACTACTGTGGACACTAACATCTGTACAAGACTGCACTGGAGCTCTGATTCCCTCGAGCTCCATAACTTACAGAGTTGGGAGGACAGACATCTGCCATCCATACTGCAAGAAATCCCATAAACTTTTTTTTTAATTGTCAAGGTGATATAAAGAGGGGTTTCGGTTACATACCTAAGGTAATGAGTACATTTCTTGTCCACCATAAACTTTTTTGCCCTGCCTACATTCAGACAAAGATTCCTTTTTCTGTTCCTGCAAAAAGCAAACAAACAAAAAACACAAAAAATGCCCAGATATTTTCAGGGGAATAGCATTGAATCTATAGTATCTTTTAGGAACATAACCACATTCAGAATTTTAATTCTGCCAGTTTGTGAACGTAGGAATTCTTTCCATTTTCTGGTTTTCCAATTTCTTTCCTTTTTTTTTTCTTGTGAAAATACCATACAGAGGGGTTACAATTACATGGGCAAGGTAATGAGTGCATTTCTTATCAGTATTGTTTTCTAATTTCTTACATTAAACCTTTGCCTTTCAGTGTAGGTGTCTTTTACAGGTCTTTCATTAGATTTTGAATCCTAGGAATTTTTTTTGTAAAGTCAACATTTGAAGGTATATATGAAGTCTATTGTGGGCTTGTATATTTAGCTTCTTTTATCATAATGGATTAAAAACTAAGTTTGTGCCAAACAGATAAAACAGAAGTTATCTTTCCGAGTCTAAGTAGATTGACTTTTTGTTTTTTTTTGGGGGGGGGTTCTGTCGTGGGGCCTGAACTCTGGGCCTGGGCGCTGTCCCTTAGCTCTTCAGCTCAAGGCTAGCGCTCTACCACTTGAGCCACAGCGCCACTTTTGGCTTTTTTCTTTTTGCTTATGTGGTGCTGAGGAATCGAACCCAGGGCCTCAGGCATGCAAGGCAAGCGCTCTACCACTGAGCCACCTTCCCAGCCCCAGTAGATTGACTTTTAAAGTTAATTTTTGTATTACTTTAAATTTTCTAGGGTATATGGTAAAAATGGGTCTTTCTTTCTTTCTTTTTTTTTGCCGGTCATGGGGCCTAAACTCTGGGCCTGGGCACTGGCCGGCAGCTCTTCAGCTCAAGGATAGTATTCTACCACTTGAGCCACAGCACCACTTCCGTTTTATTTTTCCACTTATGTATTGCTGAGGAATCGAACCCAGGGCCTTATTTATGCAAGGCAAGCATTCTACCACTGGGCCACCTTCCCAGCCCCTAAAAATGGATTTTATTATGATAACAATATGTGGTTACATAAATTATTTTGATCTGACATGCCTTTATCCATTACTTGCTATTTCCTCTAAAAATTTAAATTATTCTAATGACCTGCAGGATTTTATTTCATTCATGCATTTGAAATCCCTAATGTTTTCACTGAATATATCTAAACAAAAAATCAGATAAAAATTTTCATACAGCTTTTGATTCATAATACCACTCTCTCTCTCACACAGACACACACGTGCTCACATACACACAACACACACACACAGGCACACACATGCCCATATAAAACCAAGATAGGCAAACCATGACTCAGTGGCCAAATCCAGGCTGCTTTTATGAATAAAGTTTTCTTGCAACACAAAAGAAAACTAATTTCGTGTAGCTACATTTTCCTTGTTCCATTCTTTATATTTCTGTCCTTCAATTTATCTGTGAAAGTTTTTATTGCCATTAGCATTCTCTCTGCCTGCCATCCAGACACACTTGTTTCAACACATAAAGCCATACATATATGCATTCTCTTCATTCCTTAATGTTAGAAAAAAGAGAGTTGCGTAACTTTGCTGAAATCTCAAGAAGAAATTAGCAAGGAATGCAAAATACTATGCAAATGCACTAAAATAAAATATTCTCCCATCCACTTCATATCACACAATGAGGATTCAGTATTTTACACAATAATATAAACTTGACTCTGATAGTGAAATTGTAAAATAAATAAGAAAGACAAAACAATGTAGAAACTGATAAGTATTTTGATCATATTTTGATTACCATACTGAGGAAGTTGGAAATACAGTATACTTTGACATTTTCATTTGTTAAACAGTGTGTCCTCAAAAAAAGAACACACACAAAATTTTATTTGTCAATACATTGTTTTATTTTCAACTAAAATTTAATTAATAGAAATTAATAGTTACATAGTCATGTATTTATTAGACAACTGAATGTGAGAAAAGATTCAAGTTCATTCTGGGCAGGGAAATCCATGAAACTGTTATTTCTAATTAAAGATGAGAAAGGTAGAAATGAAGCTATGGTAAGTGGTAAAGCAGCCTTGAATGAAAAGGGTAAAGGACAGTCTAGCCCCTCACTTCAAAAATGTAAAAAGAAATTTAATTAATTCAAAAGACACACATGAGGAGCACTGGAAAAGACAAGAAATGGATGCAAATGTATGTATCTGTCTTAAATATGTGATTCTGTTGAAATAGGATAGAGCTCACTAAGTCAACCTATTTGAAACTATGAGAAATGCTTTCCTTATCAAATTAAGAGTTTTGAAATGTGACAGATAAATATGTTTATGTGTCAACAGATTCGCATAAGTAATTCCATTACAAGAATTAATCTTATGTATATTGAGTGCAGTCATTTCTATATGCCAAATTAATGTAAAGTTACCAGAAATGATCTTATGTATATTTAATGCACAAATTTCTATGCACCAAATTAATAAAAAGTGGCTAAATTGAAAGTCATGCCGTGCCATGTTGGAGCAAACTATGTACCTTTTATTATAGGCATTTAACCATAAGACTAAACTCTTAAGAGAAAACACACAAAGTCTTCTAAATTGCGATCTTGAATTGAATAGTAGTTTTGTAACATATACAAGTCATTCCCAAAGCCCTATGCAGAAAGCAGAATGAGAGGGAAGAGGAAGAGAGGCAAGGAGATAGAGAATGAGGAAGAGAAAGAGAGACAGAGAAATAAGGAAAGCTCCCACAAATGAGACTTGGGATTATTCCAAAAGCCAAAGGTATGAGTAGAAATATACAAGTAGCGAACAAAATCATCTTTAAGGATCATGTTAAAAGGTGAAACTTTGTGAAGAGGAAAATACTAATGAAATGTATTAGAAAAGTATGCAATATGGTAGGGGGCAGACAGGAAGTTAGTATACTTGAAAATTTAGAAAAATGACTGAGAAAGACAACAATGAAAGGAAACTGAGAAGGACGGATAACAAGATTACGTGCAGATTAAACAGGAGGAACCAAAAGCATACAAGAAAAATTCAAATTTATGTGGTGATCACAAACATTTGTGACTATCACATCTAGAAAATGAGCAAAAACTTTTTTAATATATATTTTTACTGTAAAGATACTGTACAGAGAATATATGAGTTATGAGTAAGGTAATGAGTTCATTTCCTATCGAACATTGTTACCTCCTTCTTTGTTTTTCCCCTACCATGCCTTCCCTCCCCACCATCTCAACTCCTCCATCCCCCACCAAAGTTGTAAAGTTCATTTTCAACATAGTGTCTAGTGCATCTCATTGTTACTATGGGTCAACCTGTATCATTGTTTCAACATTTTGTTATTTTCCTTCCTCTCCCAAAATTAGAAAAAAAAAGTATATATAAGATGCAGGGTACTGGAATCAAATATAGTAAAAATAAAGGTTATACCATGGGGAGAAAATATACAAAAGAAACAAAAAAAATCACAAAGTACCTTATAAGTACATTAAAAACAACAGCAATGAAGAAAAAAACCCTGGTGTTCCTATAATGGTGTTCATTTCACTTAACATCATGTTATATGGTTATATGGGCATGGCTTTTGAGGTTTTTTACTTGTCTGGTAAGATTATCTTAGATGTTCACTAATTACTGCAAATAAGGGAAACCATAGGACCTATGTTTCTTTGGACCTGACTAACTTCACTTAATATAATTTTTTGCAAGTCTATCCATTTCCTAACAAATGGGGGTGGTGTCATTCTTTCTGGTTGAGGCATAGAATTCATTTATATCTCACATTTTTGTGATCCAGTCATCTACTGAGGGACATCTGGGTTGGCATTATTCACCATAGCTAAGATATGGAGCAAAAGACACTTATTCACTGAAGTAAAAATTCTACAATGCAAACTAATAAAATAGTGGAAAATTACTCTAGCTTTAGATCAGACCTTCTGTATACTAATAAACATAGGAGTCTAATTATAAGAAAGCTAATTTCTCCTACTATGTCTTTTATCCCTGAAGCCATGAAGAGAATTTCTACTGGACATTAACAAAATGTAACATTTTGGGGCAAAAATGCAGCCTAGGAGTCCTGCAGTAGAGGCCAAGATTGAGAAAACCTCCACTGCCACCATGTCCTTCCCCTTGGCACTGTGGTAGACAGGCAGGAAGGTGAGCCACACACTGCAGAACACCAGCATGCTGAAGGTCAGGAACTTGGCTTCATTGAAGGTGTCAGGCAGGTTCCTGGCCAGAAAAGCCAGGGTGAAACTGGCCAGGGCCAGGGTTCCCAGGTATCCCAGGATACAGTAGAAAGCAGTGAGGGAGCCCTTGTTGCACAGGATGATAATGTGGCCATGTTCAGAGTGTGCATCTGTGTCCACAAAGGGAGGAGAGGTTCCCAGCCAGAGTCCACAAAGGGTCACCTGGATGATAGTGCAGATGGGGATGATGAAATTAGGAGCTCCTGATAAAATCAGTCACCTCATCCTTCTCCCTGGAGAAATGGCCTTGAAGGCCAGGACCACAGTCACTGTTTTGGCCAACACTGTGGAAACAGCCACAGTGAAGAGAACTCCGAATGTGATCTGCTGCAGGATGCACGTGATTGTGTTGGGACGTCCAAGAAAGAGCAAGGAACAGAGGAAACAGAAGTTGAGGGAGATGAGCAAGATATAGCTGAGAGTCCGGTTATTAGCCTTGACAATGGCAGTGTCTTGGTGTTTCACAAATATCCCCAAAACAAAAGCACTTAGCATAGAGAAGCAGAGAGCCATGCAGGCCAGAGCCATGCCCAAGGGATCTTCAAAAGCCAGGAAACTTGGATCTCTCCGGAGGCACTGATTTCTCTGTGTGTTGGCATACTGATGATCTGCACATTTCACACACTGGTCCATCTCTGGTAATGAGTGTAAGTTACCATTAGTTCTCATTTGAACTTCTTTTACTTCAAAGAAATTAGGAAATTGTTCCCTTAGATGTAATTGTAACATGTTATTTTTAAGTATCCTAAACACACTTTTATTTCTTTTCTAAACCATAACCTCCTCCCATTATCATATTCTTCTTTATTCTGGCATTTTTCTTCAAGTTCTTTTTTCCTTCATTGGTTATCACATGTGTTGATTATGTGCCATTTGGGGCAGCCTTATCTCCTATCAACAATTTCCTACACTTTGTGCTAACATTTATTAATAGATCTGTGCCCTGTTTTGCAATCCAATTAAAAGTTGTAAATAATAGAGCTTACCCTTTCCTACATGTATTGTAAAACATTAATTTTATCCCTGTTGCATTTCCTTGAATTCAACCCTTGAATTTTCTCTCCACCTCATCTGGGAAGCAGTAGGAACAGAGAAAACACTCTTGGACCCTCAATAGTCATGCTCATTTCTTAAAGTGAATCCACCTTTCTGAATACTTGTTTTCTGTCACAAACAGTTCTGGGCAGAGAGAAAGATATGCATGATCTATGTTTCTGTGTGAACAAAATGTAAAATTAAGCACAGTCCTAATAAGACTTGTGTTTACTTTTTCATAGGAGTTTACATTTATATTAGCCCTAAGTTACAAGAAGGATTTCCACAGATAATTTTGCCTGCAATACAGTGAAAAATATTACCAAAATATGTAATTCAAGGCCATGATCTATCACATTTCAACTAGCAATATTACATGTCAAAATTAAATTATTATTATTTTTATCTACCTATATTTTTATTAATATGGTTTTATTGTGAAAATACCATACAGAGGGGTTACAATTACATGAGCAAAGTAATGAGAACATTTCTTATCAAGCATTGTTGCCTCCTCCTTTGTTTGCCTTTACCATCCCTGCCTTTCCATCTCCCCCACCCTCAGCCAATGTTGTAAAGTTCATTTTTGGACGTAGCATCTTGTACATTTCATTGTTGCAATAGGTCCACCTTTATCTCTATTCAAAAAATTTATTAACAGAGAGAAGCCAAATGGGCTCTGTCATTATAAAGTACAAGTTTTGCATTGACTTGGTTGGATGAGGAAAACAGGAAAGATGAAAAGTTTCATTATAAGTCATGGACTTACCTGACACATTAGTAATCTCATTCCCTGGGCAAGGTGTACAATCAAAGCAACAGGCAGCCTTTCCCTCCTGAGGAGATTTCCTGAATCCAGGACCACAAGTCTCACTGCAGACAGAGCGAGGAGTCTGAGGAAAATCTGGTCTGTCAGTAACTCTTCAAATTTACATAGTTAACACTCTAAAAAGTCTATCTTTTCCATTAATTAAAATTTTATTTAATATTGTATAGAGAGAAGAATGTACTGTATTGATGATAAAATAATTCTAGTCTTTATGAATGACTTTTTTATTCTTAAATTATGTGGTACTTTCTGAAGAGAGAGACCATAGTATAATCCAATATATAAAGGTATATCTTATACATAAATTTATAATTATTTGCACAATTACTTGCTTCTCGAACTGATACATGCTCCATTAAGTCCATTCTTTTAAAGAATCAAACTATTAAGTACAATGTTTCAATGTAGCTAAGAGCAGATGATAAATTGAATTGTGTTATCAATTCCATATCCCAGATTCCTAAGGAATTATGTGCTACAAGCTTGTTTTCTAGCTTGTTGAACTACACACAGTATGGGATCTTTAAAAGGGTGGAACCTATGGTGAGGAAGTAAGTCCCAGTTTATAACCTTATGGAAATTTCTCTCTTTTTTGTCAGTTGTGGGACTTGAACTTGGCTAGGGCTCAGCTCTTCAGCTCAAGACTAGCACTCTACCACTTGAGCCACAGAGTTTTCTGATAGTTAATTGGAGATAAGAGTCTCATGGACTTTCCTGCCTGGTTTGGCTTTGAACCCCAATTCTTAGATCTCAGCCTCCAGAGTATCTAGGACTACAGGTGTGAGCCACTACGACTGAGACTTCCATTTTATAGGCCCACCATTATGTTTCTGGTGGCCATGAAGAATGAATCTTGATACAGTAGCCTTCAATGATTCTTTTCAGCAGAGATGCTTAAATAGCAGGTCAACTAACCATTGAATGATATCTCTACATAAGGGAACACAATAAAGCTTCCCACTACATTATTTGTCAACTACTTTATCACTCTGTAGGAAACCTCTTAGAAAACTACTACTTATAATTTATGACAGTATTCTGAATCAAGAACTAAGAACACATTTAATATATTTAGTTCTGATGCTGGGCCATAACCCAAGGTGTAGGTACTGGCCTTAAGCATGTTTTGCTCAAAGTTATCATTTCACTACTTGAGTCACAGCTCAACTTCCAGATTTTTGGTGGTTAATTGGAGATAACATTCTCAAGGACTGTCCTGGTTGGGATTACTTTTAAGCATAACATTCAGATCTTATCTGTCTGAGTAACTATGAGAGTAAGTTGTTGGCACTCAGCCAGTTATAAATTTAAAGGGTGATTTTGCTTATTTTTTGTCCTTAAAATTATTAGCATTAGATTCAACCCACCTCTGTAGTTTCTATGGCCCACTCTACCATATCTTCAGATAAAGACAGTTCATTACCATGGAGAGCATATGGAGAAAACTTTCCTACTTTCACCTCAAGTCCAAGACCTTCTGGAAAATTCCAAATATTCAGAATGTCATACTCTGGTTCCAATTTCCTTTTCTCATCCAAAATCATTTGATCTCCAACAGGATTGTAAAACTCGACGTTCTTCAGAAAATGGAGCAGCTGAAGAGATACATCATGTTATGGTGAAGTACGTCCCAAAGTTATGATAGAAAATTGAATTAAGTAAAGCTCCTGACTGCCTTTTATCCCTTATTCTGAATTAAAGAATAACACCATCAACTATTGAAGTATCTACAAAAAAATCTATGGAGGAATAAAAATAATCTTTCTGAATCCTTGTCACTCAGAAAAGGAGTACAAGTATTTGTGCAAGAGAAACCAATATGACATAGTCATGAATGACTCTCAGTTGCCTTGCTACAGTTTACTATAAGCACTTTTTAAAATGAATGTGTATAGTTTGAGCTTGCTAGATTTTTATTTCCAAAGTTGAATGAAGTTAGGTCACATATGAAAAATATGGAAAATTCTGTTCAGCAAGTCACAGTTTGCTATTAATAATGAAATGTATAGGGAAAGGCTGAATTTACAGTTTTCAAGTCATTAGCTGTGGGATGTTGAGGTTATTTGTAACTAAACAAATTCATAAGCTACCTGCTAGGTGCTCTTGGATGTAATCCCAGGTACTCAGGAGACTGAGATTTGAGGATCATAGTTCAAATCCAGACTGGGCTTAAAGTCTATGAGAGTTGTTTCCAATAAACTACTCAGAAAAAGACAGAAGTAATGGTGTGCCTAATGTGATAAAGCGCTATCCTTGAGCACAAAGAAATCCAGGAACAGCACCCACACCCTGAATTCAAGCCCCAGGAGCAGCAATACAAAAACAATTTACAGAATCACATTTATTCTTATTAATAATATGGCTTTTTTTCTTATGAGTATATGAACTCATGTTCAGAGTACCTCACATGTAAATATAAACAAATTTCTGGGTTTGGAAAAATCATTTGAAATATTAATTTCATAGAATAAGACATATTTCAGGAAGTGCCTCTACTCATGGTGCATGCCATTCAACATAGATTAAATTACCTGTGCATGGGAAGGCACTGTCCCTTTTCTATTTCCCATTGTTTGAACTTCTATTTGATGAAGAAGCATCTCATGAAGAGCCTGGGCTACAGCATGTACAGAGTTGTATATATTATAGCTGTTTTCAGACATATTCATGTCAAAAATATGCCCAGGCAACCAATCCAAAGAGGCGTCATGAGGACAGTTGTTCCATGTAGCACAGTCAGACTCAGCATCTGAGCAATTAAACAACAGAAACCACAGCCTAGCAAGAAAAATGTCTTCTGGGTATTTGGAAGGGTTAACTGTCTTGACAAAATCTATGAATCCAGAAACATTTGCATGATGGTGTGAAAAAATAAGAAGAACATGTGGTGAGCCTAACATGAAATATCTCCTTTTCATGGTGAATTCCCACTGTGAGTTCATGATGAAAACTTTGCCTTTTATTAAAAGTTGCTCAATGCCCATTATTAAAACTATTAGTGAATCATTATCACCATGTATGATGAGGACATTTGCTGAAGATTTATTTATCTCATTATAAACTGACATGGCTTTTAACATATATGATGTTGATTGGCTTGAGACAACTAGCTCATAGGCTATACAAATTCTGTTCTTGGCCATCTCTTCTTTCAATTCAGCAAGAACCCACAAATCATTCTCATCTCGTAAGTTCAACAGTCCCACCCAGCTCCAGCTGAAGTGAAGCAGTAAGGAGACGATGGCTGTGCCTATTGATGTGTCCTTTGGGGCCATCTGATAGAGAGCAGGAAACTTGTGATGGTCATTCAGGGCATGAACAAATGGCCCAAAGGTAAGCTAAAGGGACAGAAAACCAGATGCTTCATGAATTAGAGGATTGCCATTCATCAAAATCTGTGTCTTGAAGTATGTGAAGAAACAGTTGAATTAGGTTTCATTTTAGTTTTTGAAAAAAGTAATATAGTTTGTTTTTGAGTAGTTGTGCAACTTATCAATTTGTTTGTAAAATGTTTCTTGATCTTTGTCACTAATTTCATCAATTCTTTCAATCTATATCAACTCCATCCATTCCCTGACCTTCTTAATTCTATTTTCACATATATACACTGAATATTCTGTTGTTTTCCCAACCATCCATTCTATATTCTTCTCATATTTTCCCTCAACACCTACTCCTCTCAGTCAAGGTATGCTTCAGCTCTCTGGTGTTTATTTTTTTTGTAGATCATATAAATCAAAGCGTGAAGTTACACACACACGCGTGCATATATGTATATGTATATATATATATATATATATATATATACACCATACTTTAGTCAGATTGATCATGTATATATGTAAGAGGCTATGTGTGTATTCCATATTTATTTCATATTACATGCTCATATTTCAGATCTGACTTTCACATATGAGGGAACACATTTCTCCCTTCTTGATCTGAGCCTGACTTACTTCATTCAACGTAATACCTTGCATGTCTCTATGTGTGAATGTGCAATTACAAGCCAGTATAGAGGCACAAACTCATGTCCTCATGCACTTTGGTGGATTTTTCTCTCTTGATGGGTCTACCACTTGGAGCCATTTATTCACTTTCTGCTTGTTGCTGGTTAATTGCAGATACAAGTTTCTGAAATAGTCTAAATTACAGGAGTAGCCCAACATATCTTCACACTGCAAAGTCGTTTTCCATTTCCTGATTCATTTACAGAAAATTAACGATAAAGCTTGCAACAATAAATTATCTCATTGTGTGCCCCAACTCTTCCAAACAATGGAAATATCTACATATCTCACTATCATTGAGTACTTTCTCTTGGATACCACAAAATTTGATAGCTTCATAAATCCAGTCCATTTCTACCATTCTCTTCTAACTCCTGAAATGACATCAAATTTGACATTTTTACATCTTTCTACACCTCTACTCTCACCTGTGGAAATCTGTAGAGTCCCAGTAATGTTCCAATTTGGTCAGATGTTATTCCTAATGGTCCTGTAAGTACTGCTATAGACCTGCTGTTTCTTATACAGGAATAGTTTGGAATCTTGTACTTCCCAAAGAGCCAAATGAAAGGATTCTTATACACGGTCCAAGTTCTGAATTGAATATCATAGACTTCAAATCCTAGAGTCAAGTTATGTAAAAGATCAGGGTTTTTGTTGATCTCTTCAATAGCAAAAGCCAAAGCCAAAACAAACTGATAATTCTTGAAGATAAACCTGCATAATGAGCATAGAAATTGAGGAGTGTTTCAAAACTTACAACTTTGGTGCAGTAAATCCTTGTTTCTTTGCCAATGAATATGTTAAAACGTTACCTCATGCCTGTATATAGGATTAGGTAAGTACATGAAAGGAGCATATCATGAAAGAGATTGAGACACTTACTTAAACCAGAAGAGAGCTTGCTTTTCCCCATTACCACATGCACCAGAAGAGAAAGCTATTGTCTGTTAGATTAGGTTTTAATGAGACAGGAAATATTCTGTTGCCTTTATCTCAGGGCAACTAAGTACACCTGGGTGAAAAAATAAACCTTGTGTTTCAAATCATCTAGTTTTTGTTATGTGTTCATATGGTATGTCAAGTTAACTAATAAATGTTCAGTTTAAGAGCAACTTTCATAAGCAAAATGTTATTGATGGAAAATTCTATAGCAAGGTGTGCTCACAGATCCAATACGCTGAACAGGTCTTACTGAAATAAAAACTAGAAAAAGAGCTCAAATATCAGGGCAGGGAATTTTATTTTTTATGCAAGGAAATTTTTATGTACAAGGAAATCATCATGGAGAAAGGAACCCAATCCATGAGGGTTGAGGAGCAAATTGTAAGCAAGCTTTACATTGAATTTTCAGTTCCACGGTCTCCATGGTCAAATGCATTGATCACTACCGTCTTTCCAATATATTTAGGTTGAGAACTGAAAAGGAGCCAATAGAGCAAAATAAAGAACATCAAAGTTTTTTCTTTCTTTCTTTCTTTCTTCCTTCCTCCCTTCCTTCCTTCTTTCTTTTTCTTTCTTTCTTTCTTTCTTTCTTTCTTTCTTTCTTTCTTTCTTTCTTTCTTTCTTTCTTTCTTTCTTTCTTTCTTATTTCTTTCTTTTATCTTGGTGTCCTGTCTGTGTGTATCATGGTGCATGTGTGTGTGTGTGTGTGTGTGTGTGTGTGTTTGTGTGTGCAACACATGTGCATGTGTGCATAGCCTAAAAAAATTAATGTAATGAAATCAACTGGCATTGTTTAAAAAGAAACAATGAAGTCACATTGGACAGACTAAGGAAAGGATTAACTTGTTTAATATAAAATGTTGGTATATGTGAAATGATCACAACAAAAACCTATCATATTCTTGCAGTCTTCTACAAGGAAGAAAATAGTGATCTAGAAGAAAATCTAATTGAACAAACACATATTGAAGAATAATGGGTAAGTAGGAATAAAGAAGAAAGAATGAAATTGTGTGAAAAACATTTGTTAAAAGTTGATGACAGTAATTTAAAAAAGCAAATGTAGAGAAGAATACAAAGTAATAGACATAAAGATGAAAGGATAATTAAATTTTTGACTGTGACATCTACAGAAATCTGTCTTATGATCAAACTTTCACAAGTGAAATGCATATAAAGAGAAAATTCTTTAGACTAGAATGGAAATCAGACCCATAACACATAGCTGTACCCCTGTCTCCCTAACTGCTGCCACCTAATATTTGATAAGGTGCTGAAAACACAGCTTGGAAGATAGATAGCTTTACACAAATGGTGGTGGCAAAATTGGATATTTACATGCAGATAACTGAAGCTAGATTCTCATAGAACACCTTGCACCAGAATAATCTCTGAATGGTTCAAAGACCTCAATGTAAGGCAAGATAGTGTGCAAATATTATAGGAAAGGGTAGGGGAAATGCTAAGCCTTCTAGGAATGGGGCTAAACTTTGTACACAATGGTCCAGAATGACAACAAATCAAAGAAAGATTGGATACATGGGATTGTATCAAAGTGAAGAGTTTCTGCATAGGAAGGGACATAGATAACAAGATAAATAGCCCACAAAATGGGAGAAAATCCTCATTTATCAAACAAAGGCCTCATAACTTTAAAAAAATACCCCCCAACTCAAAGAAATGAATGACATTTTTATTTGATGTTGTTTCTGTCTCTTGTTCTCCTTACCTTTTCTCTTGTTTGTATTTGGAAGAGCAAGGGAGGGGTCATAAAAGGCAGAACAAGGACGAAAAAGGACGAAAGTGATACTAAACACTACGTGGAAAATGAACTGTCCATTTGTGGATGAGGACAGGATGGAAAGGGAAGACATGCTTCAAAAAGAATTGTCCTCATTATTGATCACCTAGCTCATGTAACTCTAATAGCAACTCTACAGTAACAGTAAAAAATAAAACCAAATATATAAAATAAAATATCTAAACAGACCCATCACAAACAAGGAGATTGAATAAAAGACCTATAAAGGAGACTTACCAGTTATTATCAATTATTCTCAAACTCTTCAATGAAATAGAAATTGAGGGAATACTATTCATTCTATGAAGCAAGTATTATACTTATCCTCAAACCAGATAAGGATGCATTGAGAAAAGGGAACTTAAGATCTATCTCCTTTCAACATAACAACTTGTACATCTCATTGTTGCAATGGGTACCCATGTAATTGTAACCCCTCTGTACAGTATTTTCATAATTAAAAAAATATATATAAAATTTAAGAAAGATCTATCTCCTTAATGAACCTTGATGTGACAGTTCTCCACAAAATATTGGTAAATAGAATCCAAACACTGATGAGAAAATTCATACACTAGGATCAAACTGAATTTATTTCAGGGATGAAAATCTGGTTTAACATATGTAAGTCAGTTAACATATAACAGCACATCAACAGAAGCAAGGGCAAAAACCACATGATCATCTTGATCAACAGTGAAAAAGTCTTTGATAAATCCAATACTCCTTTGTAATAAAAACTTCAGAGAACCTAAGTATCCTTGAAACGTTCCCCAATATACTAAAGGCTGTATAGGACAAATCTACAGCCAACATTATGCTCAGTGGTGAATAGGTAAAAAAATTTCCCTAAAATTAGTAAAAAGACAAGGATATCCATTTTCTCCATTCCTCTTCAACATAGTATTGGAATTTCTAGCAAGAGTGGTAGGCAAGAGAAAAACATTTCAGGGAACCAAATAGGGAAGCAAGAAATAAAATTATTCCTTTTGAAAGATGACATTATACTATACTAAAGGGGAAATGTCCTCCCCAAAGTCTTAGCATTTACCTAGAACTTTGGCAAAATAGCCAGGTATGAAATCAGCCCCCCCCCCCCAATCAATTTCCATTCTTTATGCTGTTGAAAGAAGATCAGGCTGAAATTATAAAACAACTTCATTTGCAATTGCTCCCAAAATATATAAAATACCTGGGAATTATCCAATTAGTGAATGACCTCTATAGTGAAAACTTTAAAAATTTGAAAAAGGGAGTGGAGTAAGGCCTAAACAGATGGAATGATATGTTGTATTCCTGGATTGGAAGAATTAGCATTATGAGAAATCGCAATACTGCCCAAAGCAATCTACAAATTTACAAATTAACAAATTTACAAATTCAGTGCAATATTCATTGAAATCCCAACAAAATCCTTCAAGAGAGAGGTGAACAATCAAAAAATTATGGAAAATAAAAAGAACAATGAACATCAAAGTAATACTTAGCATTCAGAACAGTGTTGCATGAATAATGTTACCAAATTTCAAACTCTATTACAGAGCCATGTAAAAATAACATGTTGGTACTGGATAAATGGTGGACCAGATGATCTATTCTGTTCCAGAAAAACAGAATATTCTGTTCCTCTGGAACAGAATAGAAGACCCAGAAAGGAACACAAAGACCTCTACCTATCTGATCTTACATAATGGAGCCAATATTATGGGCTGAAAATAATGATGTTGGCAAAACTGGATATCCATGTGCATAAAACTGAAACTAATTGTTCACCACACATCTTCTTGTCCCAACATCAATTCAAAATGCATCAAAGACTTAAATGTAAAGTCAGAAATCATGAAACTTCTATAGGAAAGCGTAGGGGAATCAGAATAAATGAAAAGCAGAATTGATAAATGGGTGTACATCAAACCTAAAAGGTTCTGCCCTGCAAAGGACATAAGCAACAAGTTTAATAGAAAGATCACAGAATGTGAATTTTTAAAATATGTATTCTTTTATTATAAAGATACTGTACAGGGGTTACATTTATGTGAGTAAGGTAATGAGCACACTTCCAATTCAGCATTGTTTCCTTCCCACATTCCTAACTCCTCCCTCCCCCCCCCCCCCCAAGTTATAAAGCTTGTTTTCAACATAGTGTCTTGTACATCTCATTGTTACAATGGGTCAACCTGTATCCTTGTTTCAGCAATTTGTTATTTCCCTTCTCCACCCTAAATTAGAAAAAATGTACATACAAAATGTAGGGCATCGGAATAAAATACATTGAAAACAAGGGTTGTACCATGGGGGCCAAACATAAAAAGAAACAAAAAAGTCACATAATACATTAAAAACAACAGCAACAAAGAAAAAACCACTTCTGTCCCTATCTTGGGGTTCATTTCACTTAGCATCATCTTATATCGTCATATGTATGTAGCTTTTGACCTTTTCTGCTTTTTGGTAAAATTATCTTAGATGTATTCTAGTTATTGTAAATAAGGGAAACCATGGGACCTATGTTTTTTTGGGCTTGGCTTACTTCAATTAATGTAATTTTTTCCAAGTCACTCCATTTCCAAACAAATGGTGCAGTGTCATTCTTTCCGATGGAGGCATAGAATTCCATTGTGTGTGCATATATATATATATATATATATATATATATATATATATATATATATATCATATTTTCTTGATCCATTCATGTACTGACAGGCATCTGTGTTGGTTCCATATCTTAGCTATGGTGAATAATGTTGTAATAAGCATAGTTGTGCTGGTAGCTTTAATATGATCATTAGACCCAGAAATGAACCTATAGATCTATAGCCACTTAATTTTTGATAAGGGAGCTAAAAAATAGAATGGAAGAAAGATAGCTTCTTCAGTAATGGTGCTGGCAAATTTGGTGAAACACCTGTAGAAAACCATAGCTAGATCCTTATATATCACCCTGCACCAGAATCAACTCCAAATAGATCAAAGAACTTGAAGTAAAAGCAGACACCCTGAAACACTGCAGCCAGAGTAGGAAAAACTCTAGAGCTCCTTGGGACAGGCCATACCTTTCTTAGTAAAGAACAGAAACCCAGAAAATCAAAGAAAGGTTGAACAAATGGGATTGCACGAAACTGCAGAGCTTATGCATGGCAAAGGGCAAGGCTACAAGATCAATAGAAAGCACAAGGACTGGGAGGAGATCTTCATTAGCCAGACAACAGACATGGGTCTCATATCTAAAATATACTTAGAACTCAAAAAATTAAAATTCCCAACAACAAATCCTCAAAGAAACATCTGCCCAATTAATAAATGGGCTTAAGACTTAAAGGGATACTTCTTTGAAGAGGAAATAAGAACGGCCAATAGACACGAAGAAGTGCTGAACTTTACTCCAGAGGAAGATGGCAGAGGAGAAGCTCGGGACTAAGCAAGTTCTTGCATAAATGCCAGTTTTAGTGTTCTAGTGAAAAGTCCAAGGCTAGAAAGTCAGACCAAGAGTGCCATCGTAGTGCAGTGAGTTTTGACAGAGAGGAAGTATTCAGGCACCTTGGTTTAGGAGACAGTTTCGGTGCTCATTGGTGTCCATTGCCGCAGCTGCCTTATCAACAGAGAGAGCCCGGGACCAAGGCACCACAGGCAGTGTTTGAGCAGATTCTAATTACCACCAGCAAGAACTGAC